CCCGACACAGCATCGCTACGGTCCATCTCGTCTTGAAACAAGAGAAACTCAGAAATCCGAGCTTCCTGCGGATGTGCCGTAGGGTTGTCATTGGATGGGACCTCACAGTTTTGTTGATCACCTTGGGAAGAAGACATCTTAAATTTTTTCTAGAGAGAAGTTGGAGAGAAACTTGAGAGGTGGAAGATATGAGAAGTAATGATCCAATACTTATAGAAAAAAGAGAGCTCTCCCTCGAGACAAATCTTAGCCGTAGATTCCGATTTAAAACTAACTCCGTCCGCCCGCAAAATTTCCTCAAGAAATTGCAGGCTGGGGGGATAACTGTTGGTATCAAAAACCGTAATCTCGAAATCAACGTCTACGATAACTTCTGGAATCATTACTTTCCGCAAAAGTCATTTATTAAAACTCGAGAGTCATTTTATAAAACCCGAGGACCGTTTTATAAAACTCGAGAATCGTTTTATAAAACTGAAGAACCGTTTTATAAAACTCGAGAATCGTTTTATAAAACTCGAGAATCGTTTTATAAAACTCGAGAATCGTTTTATAAAAACTCGAAGAACCATTTTATAAAACTCGAAGAACCATTTTATAAAACTCGAAGAATAGTTTTATAAAACTCGAAGAATCATTTTATAAAACTCGAGAATCGTTTTATAAAACTCGAAGAATCGTTTTATAAAACTCAAAGATCGTTTTATAAAACTCGAGAATCATTTTATAAAACTCGAGAGTCGTTTTATAAAACTCGAAGATCATTTTGCGAAACCGCAAAAAAACCGAAACAGCCGTAAAACGGGAACTAGTCACGGCCCGGCCCAACGAATGCTGAGCTTTACTGGTGCATAGAGATTTAAGACACATCTAGATGCAACACTTTCTTTTCGACTCCTTGTTATCTCCTTTAATACAACAACTCTTTGGTTTCACTTCTTCAATCTTATTCTGATTCTCTGCCTTACCTTTCTTCGCTTACTCTTCACATTCTTTAAAGAATTTTTGGGTTACAGGGATACCCGCAACATCTGCTGGATTTGTCCCAGCCTTAGATTATCTACAATGGGAGTGTTGAATAAAAGATTCAACTGTTGAATCACTATAATGAGGGTGTTGAAAAATGAAATTTGATGATGTGGATTAATTGATGTTAAAAAGATTCAACTAGTTGAATAAGAAGAAAGTGGAGCCCATTGATGACACATGTTACTTTTTAAGAATTTTTGATATTTTGTTATCCTCTTATTTATTTAAAACTAATAATCTCATTATATATGAAATTATTTATTTTATTTTTATATGAAATTTTACTATTTTAAATTCTCTATAAGCATAAACTAGGTTTGTTTAATTTGAAATATAGAAAATTTTTTTTTGTTAATTAGTGAAATAGAGTGTTGAATTTTATTCAACAAGACCATTGTAGTGTTTAAAACTTGAATGTGTGTTGAATGATGAGGTGGAAGAAAGAGAATATGACATGGAGTGTTAAAAAATGAAGTGGAGGGTGTTGAATCTTAAAACCATTGTACATAGTTTTAGCTGTGGCCCTGACATTCAATTTGCGTGGCGAGGTCTAAGTGAGAACCTTGAGCAGCTTAGTGAAGATGTGTAATGGATATTACATTTGGGTTTATTGTGGACATCCAACTTAAAACCAATTGGTGACTAGTGGATTGATCTTAACTCTTTGTATATTACTTAAGATTCCATTGAATTCCCGATGTGAGATATATTATCCCTAATACCCCTCTTCAAGATGATTGCTCTTATCGGCCAAAATCTCAGAACTTTAAAACATTTATACTCGGTCGAGCGAGCCAAGTACACAATTATATCTAGTCGAAAGGTTAAACACGACATTTAAACCTTGTCGGAAAGGTTAATCAATTAATTAGATATTTATGATTATTAAGATCTAGGCTCTGATACTATGTTAGATTTGAGTTTATCATAGGATTTCGACTTTAAACTAATTACCAATTAATAAATTAGCTCTAACTTTTTATATATTATTTAAGATCCCGTTAAATTTCGATATGAGATACATTAATCCTAATAATGGACTTCACAGAAACCCCAAGAGATCTGCTGATGTAGCACCAACATTCAATTTGTTAGCATAACCCAAACTAAGCCTATTCTACGCGAATTATCTCATTCTCTATGGACCATTCCCGGTTACATATATTGGTTTGTTGAAAGAAAATCGTAAGCGAAATCCTAGAAGAGAGTTTTTTTGTGAATATTTATTACTACATAATGATCGAGGAAATACCACGTTTTTTTTTAAGAAACTGTGATTTATTCCTACGCTCTTACAAATTTACATATAAAGTCTATATCTTTTTTTTTTGAAACATATAAAGTCTATATCTTACTTATAAAAATAAAACAGAATTGAGTAACCAAAATAAACAGTATCTATCTCTCATAAGAGTGTCATTTTGACATTTTCATACAAATTAAGAAATAAAAATCATTTATATTTTTAATAATTATACTTATTTAACCTATAGGTTTTGAGATAAGTAAAATTATTTATATGATCAAAACATTTTGCACTTAATACAAATGTTAATATAGATTGTATTGAAATTTTAAAGTGATACTTTTTTGTATAATAAGAAAAGATATAAAAATGACACTTTTATGAAAGGGAAGAAACATAATTTAGCGGTTTGTACCAAGGGTCTGAATATTACAAACCACACTATAATTAATAGTAAGAAAATTGTTACATATATCTATGTATCTATACCTCTTTGTTAATATTAAAACTACACCATGATTGTTACTAGTTCTCCTGAATGTTTCCATTCGGACCTAAGTTAATATCTTGACTGCGTTATGACTATCATATCCATATGGTAATTGTAAACCAAAAACTGAGAATGTTTTGAGCATTGGTATTTCTAATTCCTTAAGATAAATAGTGTGATCATATCAGGCCCGACTCCCTCAACAACTAGATGGGCCCTGGGCAACATTAATTTTCTTTCCTTTGTAAAATAAAAATAAATTTGAAAATTAGATCCTCAATTTATAAGAAACTCAAAATTTAGAACCCTAAAATAATAAAGAAAAATTAATTAGTAATGTAGGGCCTTGTGCATTTGCACACTCAGCTCTCCCATTTGTAGGTTTTCCTCCTCGCCATTGTTGCGGATGATATCGAGTTCGACGGTACGGAGCAAGATATCCTCTCCTATTAGGGTATCTAGAATCAGCGAGAAAATATTTCCTTTAGGGGGAGTTGGAAAATATTTGTCATTCTATGCACAATATGTCAGTATCTTTAAATCATATGCTCTTCCAGGTGTCCCCACCTATGTATATATAAACTCCATTATGAAGTTACATATTGCAAGCACGTTCATGGTAGGATGTTGCTTCCGTAAATTCCAATACTTTTCTATTTTTTTCAGATCCAACTCGCACTGACACATGTGTACGATCAATAGCTCCTATGCAACTACTGGAGAAAGGATAATGCCTTGTATCAGAAGAGAGGGTGGTGCTTACTTGTCGAAGTTCACTTTCTACAGGCTTTATAATATCTTGAGACATGCGAACAAGTGCATCCAAAACTTTATGAAACATTCTATTCACTATCTCTTAATTGCGTTGATAATGTGTTGCAATTGTTCGTTGGACTTCATCATGTGAAACCGTATCAAGAAACATTGCAACAGCCTCTTCTAGACCACATTCTTGAGATTCTCGTAGTTCATAGTCACTACTCAACTTATCACATAATAGTCGAAAAGTTTCTTAATGCATTCGTAGAGTTTTATAGCATTCTTGACCATGGCCCTTTTATCATTTTGCATTGTATGGCACCATCCTCGTCCTCCATAAATTCTCATTAGTATTCTGTCATGGTGTGGATTCAAATATTCACTCTCAAGCAACATCATAATTACTTTAACGAGATTCTGGTTGTAACAAACAATTAGTTCCTCAACAAAAACAAAAGCAGAGTTAATAAGAGAATCACCTCAACACTTTGGATTTGCAAATGAATATGTGTTTGCTCTGCCATGCTATCTCTGCACACACAAAAAACTTTATAATGAAACTAGGGGAAATCTGCGCTAAGTGCGGGAATTTGATATTATTTTTTTAATTGAAAATGGCATATGTCTATTTAGTTATTTAGAAAACTGGATAATGGTTATATTATGAGGTCTTTTTCTTTTCTTTTTTCAATTTATAGTCGGGCAATTATTTGTAGGTTGTGGTGGCCTTATTTATGTATGTAACTTTATTTTTTTCCTGTGAATATAAATCGTATAGAAGACTATATATATAGTTTGTGTGATGTTTTGTAGTCATATTTTGTCTACTGTATTTGGTTCTGGGTATACCTATTGTGTGTGTCCATCAGTTACTCTATTTGTTGGACTTCTAAGTTTGTGGTCTTTGAGTGTATTAATTATCGTTATTTGATTGTATTAGTGTTTAGTGGCATTAGGAGTTTGTGAGTGTTGTGTTTTGAACGTTCGTTTTTATATTGTGTTTTTACATATGTGGGGTAGTGTCATATTGCATGCATGATGGTTTTTGATGTAGTTCTTTTGTTGTTATTTTTTGTTGTAAATGGTTTCATACTGAAAGTGTGTAATCATCAGAAAAAAAATATATTGAGGAGAGAGTTGAAATGCATCAGAGAAAATATATTCTTCAGGTATATCTATGAAAAGTAAACCCATTATCAGAGAAAAATATATATATGAAAACTAGATCCTTCAACGGAAAAAAAATGTATGAGAAGAAGACGAAGAAAAAAAATACAGACACGAAGGATACTACTTTGGATCGGTAACCTCCACTGTTCAAGAACTATTTTAATAATATATATATGCATGGTTTGGTCTTTATTTTCTTTTATACTTTACCATATTCTGTGAAAGTTAAAGTTATTTGGTTGACACTCAAGTAGACGTATCATCATATCATGTGATATGGTTCAGCTTGTCATTATGAAGTAAATGTTAATTCTGCCTGAAGATATAAAACGTATTTACTTAGATTATGTAATTATTTTAAGTTGGTTAGAGATTGGAAAGTATATATAAAGATTATAGATTTTTAAACATAATCGTATCTACAATATGATGTTTTAAATATAGGTTTAATCTATCTCACTATAGAAATAATCACATCTACAATGTTCACGATCCGTAGTCATAGGATAAAGCCGATAGTAACAAAGAATTATTGGAATAAAATACCTCTTATTTTTTAAAAGTAAGAACCAGACATAAAATTACCCAAGAGTCAAAGCAAAACTTGATTATCAAATAGAGAACATGTAGCAAACAGGGAACATGTATTAATTAACAAATACAGGAAGTGGAATTTTAAAGGGGATAATTATTACAACCCGTAGAACACCTCTGCGCTTGTATTTTTGCAAGGAACACACGTGAAACATGAGACAGTGCATTGAAGTTTCTTGGCATAGCTTGAGCAGGAAGCATAGTACCATCACTTGTCTATATTGATGTCAATCACTTTTCTGGTACAGATAAAATCAATGTTCTACATGGCCGGAAAACCTTAATTGCACATGGAAACTTACAAAACCAGTACTAAAACATTATAAATCTGGTTTAGATACCTGCGATGGAGCAGTGATGACAAAATCACTGAGTTCATCCATGCTGATGTAAGCCCAATATTTTCTGATACCAACCTGCAAAATATTTACACATAAGTTTCCCACAGAATCTGTGCATGTAAAAGTCAATGACGCTAATGTTGTCACCTGTAAAAGTGACTCCCCCTTGCAGCTGTTTCCTTTTCAAAGGAAATGTGTGTGCTGGATGTGGCATTCAGAAACAGATGCCCTAGCAAAATGATAGGGGTGAATGTGCTGATCACCACTAATCGACTAACGATATAATTTGAAGTCCAGTTTTTTTTTACCTCCCACCAATTTGGGGTTCATGCTGGTTGCAACAACAACCCGTGGATCAACTCGCATACTTTCAAGCTGATTGTGGAACTTAACAGCTTGGGAGTCGAAGAGACTCATAGTCACAGCCCGGTTACTGAAATCATGCAATAATATAAAATGAGAAAACTGCAGTTATGACGATCGTAAATGGATCAGACGGGAAGTTCAGAGAATTTCTTGTCCATCTTAATGGTTGGCATAACATGATTGTTCTCCTGAGAGGTGTCAGTTACAGTACTTTTCACAGCAATTATTTCAGTAATAAGGTCTGGCATAAGAAGATCACCAAAACAAGATTCTCGAAATTTGTTTATCCCAGTAGTCATAAGAAGAAATAATTATATCAATACCTGGAAGCTGAGTGTTTGTATTGGCAAGATCAATCTCATGATGATTATGGAACCGAGAAGATTCACGAGGTACCGGAATGGCCGGATCAGCGACCTCAGTGAAAGAAGTGGTGTTGCTAAAGCAGATTAGCAGGGAAGAGTCTGATAATCGGTAGTTCTGGTTACATCTTGTAACATCGAAAACGGTCAAGGAATAAACTGACCCCGCTTTCAGATTAGGCCTATGTCTGGTGAGCCGATGGATGCTCATGGTGGCCGACATCATAGTGGCCTGAATACATGTCAAATAGACAAAACAATCATCAATATTTGTAGTAGTTCTAAGTAGAATCATGTTTTGAACAAATTTAACAAACACCAAAATTATAGTAATATGGATTCACGAGGGGTGAAATTGGTAAAGCAGTAGACTGGTTTAAGAGATCCGTTTATGAACAGATGGGGGCATTAATGAAGATACGACAGAAACAGATTTTTTTTAAAGAAATTTAGAAATCTAGATCCAGGAAGGCGAGGTGTGAATAATGTAACCGGTGAAGGAACTCTATTTATGAGCTAAAGGCGGAGCTTAAGAAGATATGAACTAGCGGTGGAAAATAAGCAGATATGTACTAAAGGCGAAGATTAAGAAGATACCTGTGAATCCACGAGGAGAATGTATACTGAAACTTTAGCCTTATTTTACTGGGTTGTTTACCGCATGTCTAAAAGGAATTAGAGAATGAATACGAAGGTCAGAGAACTTATCTTTTTATAGTACGGCAACCACCGCCTTGTGAAATCACTGCCCCCATTGATTATAGATCGTGTGTGATGAATTAATGGAGATTTTTAACGTCACTTTTCCATGAAGGACATCCTTGCGTGATCAGACGAAGAAGATAGAGTTTTCGTCTCCAGTGCCCGTGGATGAAATATTAAAGCTGAAATATCCACGTTATAACTCTATTTTAGTTAACAATTTATTTTTAATCGAAAAATAATTGAAATACTAAAAAACCAAGAGAAGTGTCGATATTTACATAGAATACCTGGGTCAAGCCCACCCATCCAATGACCCACCCGATTGTAATGGGTAAACCGAAAATAACTCAGTAAACCAGAGAAATCCCTAAAATCAAACGCGATCTGTAATCGCGTGACTCCTCCTTCTTATTTCGACGAGCCATCTCCCTTATTTCCTTATTTCTTTAACTCTTCGCTTTCTCTCTCGAAAACTCTAGACTCATCGCAACTCATTTTCTCTTCTCCCAGTGAACTCTCGGAGAAAAGGAAGAGATCTCGCAAATCCCATTTCTACCATCAAGAGGTTAAGCTTTCTACTTTCATCGGTCTAATATTTTTCATTTCATAGGGTTTCGTGAGATCTAGGGTTTCGAAGTTTCGTGAGATATAGGGTTTCGAAGGGTTGTGTCTTGTAAATTAAGACGAATTAGGTATCGAATCGGATGTTGATTTGGTCGTTGGTTGCGTCGAATTGGTCTCATTATGTCATGTCTCTCTCAAGTTGGTCTGATTCGAACATTGTTGTTACATGAATTGAAAATGGCGAAAATACGATGGACTAATAAGAAGGGAAAGAAGAAAACGACGAAAACGAAAGCACTGAAGGATATAGCTACTCCTTCGAAAGAGGTTGATGTTGAGGAGAATGTAGCTACTCCTTCGAAAGAGGTTGATGTTGAGGAGAATGTAGTACCAGAGAAGGGAGAAGAGAGGTCACGAGAAGAGGAAGAGAGACCAGAGGGAGTAAATAATGTAGAACAGTGTGGAGAAGTTAGGAGAAGAGGAAGAGAGATCAGAGGGTGAGAACGCAGTAGAAGAGAATGAGGAGAAGTCAGTGGAAGAGGAAGCGAGATCAGAAGACGATGAGGCTAAGTTGGGTGACAATGAGGAAGAGAGGTCAGATGACGAAGAGGCAGAGGTTGATGAGAATGAGGAAAACTAAGGAGCACAGGAAGAGAGGTCAGATGACGAAGAGGCGAACTTGGATGGCAATGAGGAGAACTCAGGAGAACAGGAACATAGGTCAAATGAAGACGAGGCGAACTTGGACGACGAGGTTGTCTTGGATCAGAATGATGTTGAAGGAGGTGGGGAAGAAGGAGGTACCAATCACTTAAGAAAGGTTAGTTTGATAGATTGGTGATGTGTGATAGTTTCGTGTAGGAGTAGCTTAAATTAGAGAACTAATAAAAGTTAACAAAAATGTTTGTGGCAGGATTCCGGTTTTGAGGAGCCACAGGCGATCAAACCGTTGGGCATGTACTTTCCACCGTCTGAGTATAGGAAGAAGATAAAGCTATCGACGCGGTGTTTTATTGCGGAAGTACTTAAAACCTTTAGGGAATTCGAACCTCTGATGAGTGCGCAAGAGAAGAATTGGTTTGAGAAGCATCCACAGTTCAAACACATATTCCACATGCCACAAGTTGAAAACCACAAGGTAATGGGCATGTGGATGCTCCTTCTCAGAGCCGTACGGATAGTGAGGACAAAAGAAGCATGGTTTGCGGTGAATGGTTGTCCCATCAGGTATGGTATTAGAGAACATGCTCTGATATCTGGCTTGAACTGCAAGAACTACCCACTGAACTACAAGCGCAGTGGAGGCACGAGATTTGTGAGGAAATGCTTTGGTAGTGGAACAATAAGATATCAAGACGTGAAAGCGAAGGTGCAGGAGAGAATGGAACCTTCTACCGATAGGTTGAGGCTGCTGATCTTGTATTTCCTATCGAGTATTATAGTNATGCTCTGATATCTGGCTTGAACTGCAAGAACTACCCACTGAACTACAAGCGCAGTGGAGGCACGAGATTTGTGAGGAAATGCTTTGGTAGTGGAACAATAAGATATCAAGACGTGAAAGCGAAGGTGCAGGAGAGAATGGAACCTTCTACCGATAGGTTGAGGCTGCTGATCTTGTATTTCCTATCGAGTATTATAGTCGGGCAGAGAAAGACTGGTGATGATGCCCCTCCTGTGGAGCCATTCCTGCTGAGAGCAGTTGATGATCTCAACTTATGTAAAACATCTCCCTGGGGTAGATTGTCATTCGATTACATGCTGCAACAGATTTCTAACACTCTGAGGCACTTTGATGGGAATGTGAAAGAAGGTGTGATATGGCCAATTCCTGGTTTCTGTATTGCAATGGAAGTAAGTGTATAGGAGTTTAATGCTTTGAATTTTAATGGAAAATATGAAATTGACAGTTGAGAGTTTTGTGTATATGTGTAGCTCCTAGCATTTGAGGCGATCTCGACATTGGGCGACAAATTTTGAGAGTCAGTTGAAGACGAAGAGGCGAACTTAGACCCAACATGCCCAAGAATGTGCCAATCTAAATTCAAGAGGAGTGAAATGAAGGGATTTCCACTGGCGAAAATAAATAAAGAGCTCGGTCATAGTAAGGTTAGTTGTCCCATGTATCCAAACATTGAAAACTTGTATTGTTATTTAATAAGCCGTTGACACTGCAGGCCATTGAAAGCATCTTGATTAGTACCGTCGACGAAGACACTCTACTAAGTCGGATAACAGAACCAGAGGACATAAGAGATAAGGATGATGTGATTGTTGAGAGCTGGATTAAGAGGTTGGAATGTGGTTATGATGTTAGGTTTGATGATATGTTTGACGAAGATGTGGCTGCCAGAGAAGGCCGTCTCCCTGAGAGTGGTGGAAAGGAGACAGAAGCCAACCCAGCTAAGCAAAATGAATTGGTTGCAGCCATCAATAGCTTGAAAAAAGATATGGGGAGTTGGTTGAGCAGGATGAAGATAAACTTGGAGAATTTGAGGGAATTGAGGGAAGACTCGCTGCATGTGAAGCTTGTGTTCAGGAGCTGGTAGATGGGAGGACTGAGGAGGAGGAAGAGGCCATCTCGAAGAGGCCAAGCAAGAAAGCAAGGAAAAACTGATGTCGCAACCTAAAACTTTGGGTGTTCTATAAGTTATGTTGTTTTTTGTTGTCCAAAAACTGTTTTTAGGTTCCTCTTCGGTTGTAGCAAAAACTATGCAATTACTCTTTTGGTTTGTACTAAAACTATCCTTTCGGTTTGTTGCTTTATCTTTGTATGATGAAAGTGGTACACTTTAGGTATGATTCAGACCAAACATAAAAAGATCTCGAAAAGAGGACTCCACTTCTCTCTTTGACCAGATATTTTATAAATATTGACCAAACTTCGAGACTGCTTGTCTTATTTCTCTGTCTCTCTCCACGAAAACTCCCTCTACTCTCTATCTCTCTCTTCGATCAGATCCAAACAGTTAAGATGGAAGTGGGTTCTTCGTCTAGGGGCCGCAATTCTGGTCGGAGACGGTGTCAGTGTGGGTTACCGGCGGCGATCTCGCAGGCATGGACTGACAAAAACCCAGGAAGAAGATTTTATGGCTGTCCAAGGTTTAAGGTAAGACGTTTTATCTAACTTATTACCGTATAAAGTTTGAAGTTGTTGAGTAGAGTAATTGAATCCTTTTGACAAAGAGGAGATGAGTGCAAGTATTTCTCTTGGTTTGATGAAGAGGAAGGCACAAAATGGCAAAAAAAGCGTTGATTGAAGCTCGTGATGAAATCCATGAGAAGAATAGGGTGATTGAGGAGTTGAAGAAGACCATTTTAGAGATGAGGAACGATGAGATTGTTAGGCAGTTTGAACAATTTCAGCTCTGATAAGTCTTATGTATGATCTGGTTTATGAACTTATGTATTCTTTTAATG